AGATACATCTTTACATAAACCAATTTTTTTCTAAAAAAACGCAACATTAGGATGCTTTAATAACCATAAAACCAAATTTCTCAAANAAACGTAACCTTAGGATGTATTATTAACCACAAAATGGTTTTTACTAAGAAGACGTAATCAAATCATATATTAATAACTATAAAACGGTTTTTTTAGAAAGCCACAGTTCTCAAAGACATTGCTAACCATAAAAAAATCTAAAAGACACAACGCTTAGAGATTAATAACCAAAAACATTTTTTTTTTCAAAAACTCAATCCTAAGAAATATTAATAACCGTAAAACAATTTGTTTTAAAAGACGTAACCTAAGAGACACTAATAACCATAAAAAAATATTTCAAAAATGTGTAACCCTAAAAGACACTAATAACCATAAAATATTTTTTCTGGAAAGACACAACTCTAGCGTTAATAACCATAAAATGGTTATTTTTTAAAAGAAACAACCCTAAAATATATTTCTCAGGATTGCTATTATTGATAGACGTGGTTCTTTAAAAAAAAAATCTAGAATTATTATTTAAATAAAGAAACAAAAAATTGTGAGACTCTAAAATAATTTTTGACGTTTTTTATCACATCATGTTTTAAGTGAATTTTAAAGTTAGTAATCATAAATGAAAAAAACGTTCAATGAAACAAATATAAAGAGTTTGAAAAACACAAATCTATAGAGCAGTGTTTTTTGAAAAGATGCAACCATAGAGATTAAAAACCATAAAACGTTTTTTTCAAAATGGTGCAATCCTAAAAGACACCAATAACCGTAAATGGAATATCTTGAAAAGATGCAACTCTAGCATTAAAAACCATAAATATATGTAAAAAGGTTTTTTCCGAAAAAATGCAACCCTTGAAAATAATCATAAAGTGGTTATACTAAACATACGCAATTTTTGGAAATCGGTTACTTTTGAAAGGACACAACCACAAAACAGTTATATTGAAAATGCACAGCCCTTGGAAATAATGATAAAGTGGTTATATTGAAAAAACGCAATCTTTGAAAATAACAATAAAAGGATATTTTCGAAACAACACAACCATAAAGCGGTTATCTACATATTAAATGCAACTTTTGGAAATAATTAGAAAGCGATTATATTAAAAAAAACTCAACTTTTGGAAATAACAATAAAACGGTTTTTTCTGAAGGACACAATCTTAAATATCCATAAGCGATTATATAAAAAAAGGCAACTTTTGAAAAAGAGGTTATATAAAAAAAAGACAACTCTTAGAAATAATTATAAAGCGGTTATATTGAATGAAACAACCCGACCCGTTTTTTTTTATTAACATTGGATTCGAATTAGCATTCCCATAAATGATAACTCTCAATAACCCCATCAACCAGTCAATCGAACAGCGGAAAACAAGACAATTAACCAAGTAACCCATTCAATAACTCAATCCAGAACACAACTTGTAACGTCCGTAAACCAAAAATTAGAAGTTTGGTTGATTTGTGTTGTTAAATGGA